TGTAGATAATTACGTGCATGCGATATATAAGTATCATCTATAAACAATTATATTAGATTGGAGGAAAAGTTCTTTTTGTTAGCTCAAAATTATACGACATATATTCATTAAAAATAATCAAAATTTAAATTAAAAAAAAGAATTTTAAGTTCAAAATCTCTACTTTCGAATGGTTACTATATTTTTCGAATTTATGTGAGTTTTATTAATTTTTATAGAAAACTACAAGCCGAAAAAAAGAGAAATTTTTCTCCTCACTTCGGGAGTCTGTCACATGCCAAAAAAATTTGCAAAAATTTTCGATTGTTTATATCGTAAACGTTTGGAGTTTTCCTTACAAAATCGTTTTCTAAAAAATGTTTCTACGATTTTTTGAGTCATTTGCAAGTTAAGAAATAATCTAACTTTGTGATTGCTCGTAACTCTATATAAAAATTATCGTATATCGTACTACAATTAAAAAAATAGATTCTTAAAGCTGAAACGCTCTATCGAAAAATATGCTAATTTTTCATGCTAATTTTTTAAATGTAAAATATCTAATGTCTATCTATTTCGCTGTGTGGTTTTAACGCCTGTCGGTGCAGTTCTGATTATTTATAGATAATTATTTAACAGTATCATTTTTTTAACATGTTTTTGTTTTATAACAAAAAGCAATAAAATCTGAGAACCGTAATCAATCGAGATATTTCGAGAATTAACAATTTATAGGTAGTATATTGACTCGAAGGCTAGAGGTGACTTTCGAGGGTTGGGAATGGAGCAATAATATCGGGAAATAAGCAACTAATTAGCAACAAATTAGCACAAAAAGAATATGCCGTATTTTTTAATTTTTTTTTATTTTTTTGAGTGGCTGTGCTAACTTTATTCTTATGCAGCCATTGTTTCTTCGGAATTGGAGCAACAAAATTGGGAATAGAGTAACAAATTAGCAACAAAAAAGCACTAAATTTCTGTGCAACTTTTATTCGATTGTGCTGAAGTGGCTGTGTCAGCTCAATAGACGTCATTAATGAATATGTATAATATAGTTATATATATATA